GTGAGTATAGAACTTATTTTTATTTATAGTGGTGTGTGTGTGTGTGTGTATATATATATATATGTGTGTGTGTGTGTGTGTGTTAGGGCTGAGACAAAGTATTCAAATATTCTGAAGCTGACAGAGGCTTCGGATCTGCCAGTGCCCAATCGAATGTTCGCACGTTTATTTATACGCATGCGCTATGCATACAATTTTTGATTAGAAAAAGTAGAGCACGATTGGAAGTAGTTGTAAAAAGGTTTCAGGTGTATGGAGTTTTTATAAGAAACTTCACGACCATAGGAAAGACATGTGCACTATTTGTAAAAAAGAATTTGCCTATTTAGGCAAGACAACAAACCTACGGAATCACCTCGCGTCGAAGCACTCGACTCTTTACTGTCCGGGCATCGAGACAACTACAACGGAAAGCAGGAAGGTGCCTACCCTTGATGGATTTGTAAGGTCTGCGAAGTGCAATGATACATGTGCAAAGAATACAACAGACAGAGTGACTCAAATGATCGTTCTAGACCTACGCCCCGTTCGAGCTGTTGAATGCGATGGTTTTCGTAACTTAATAAAGTACTTGGAGCCGGGATATGTCTTACCAAGCAGAAAACAATTTACCGCTGATATCAACCTTAAACATGCAACGTGTAAACAATGTCTGAAAGAAAGGCTAAGTTAAGAAGCAGTGTTTATATCGTTAACCACGATATATGGACGAGCATCACGACAGAAAGTTACATCACCGTAACAGAGCATTACATTGATAACAGCTGGTTGCTACAGGCTTTTGTACTGGAAACCTTACCTTTCCCAGAACGGCACACGGGGATAAACATTGCAGAAAAGCTGAAGAAAGTGGTGGAAGAATGGGAGATTATGGATACTGTTAGAATGGTTAGCCATGACCAGGGGTCCAACATGAAGGCTGCCATGGAAATTTTGCACGAAGAACTAAATTGGCAAAACTTACATTGTACTGCTCACTGCCTTCAACTCTGTATACTAGCAGGGTTTAAAATCAATTCCATTGACAGGCTGCTCGGAAGAAGATTGTTACACACTTTCACCACAGTGTAGTGGCATCACAAGCTCTAAAATAGAAACAAGTCGACATGAACATGTCTGGTAAAAAATTAATCAACAGTTGTGTCACTCGATGGTACTCAACATATGAAATATTAGATTGTCTGTTAAAACTCCGGTGGCCTGCTGCTGTTCTGTCGGATAGTCAAGTAACAAAACCCAGTGATAGATACTTGGATTTAAAATCTGAACAGTGGAAACTAGCCGAGGAATTACTGGAGGTTTTGGAAAACTTTAGTACTGCAACGACCTTTCTGAGTTATGAAGAAAATGTGTCAATGTCAGCTGTGTTTCTGATATTACATGGTATTCTTGACCAGCTAGAGCCAGACGTGTCGGATTCTGGCATAATCAAGCAATTCAAAGATATTGTGTCATCAGAGATCTCTGAGAGATTTGAACTCAAATCTTTGCATGCTGCACACCCAATGCTGTTGACAGCTATTATTGACCCTCGATTTAAAAATCTTATCTTGGGTAGATACACAGAAACTGAACAAGAAGCCCTAAAGAAAGGCATCATTGAGCTGATGGAGATGTATAAAGAGTATGAAGAACATGAGCCTGCTTCACACGAGCCTTCTCCATCTGTTGTAAAACGACCAAAGAGATTGGCTGCATTGGACAAACTCCTAGGTGAGGAGGCAGTGGTAGCAGAACCCTCTCAGCTCAGAATTGGAAAAGTATCTGGCCGAACCTCCTCCACCTAGACGAGATAATCCACTTGTATGGTGGAAGTTAAATGCTGGTCGCTTCAAAGTTGTTTCATTTGTGGCTAGATGATTAATGTGCATACCAGCTACAACCACATCTTCAGAAAGAGTTTTCTCTATGGCAGGCTTAACAGTCACCAAATTACGAAGTTCTTTAAAACCAAAAAATGTTGACGCATTAATTTTTTTGAACAAAAATTTAAGCAAACTGTCAATACAATAGTATTTATATTATTTGTAGTGTGAGAGTGCATGTGTGTTACACTATTCACACCTACTGTATTGCACTGTACTAACTATTTTAACTACTGCATTATACTGACTATTATTACTGGGTACTGCTGATGGAAATTTGGGTGGTTTGTGACTGACAATACTATGTAATGCTACTAAATAAAAAATTCCAGATTCCAGAAGGCCTGTAATCAAAATCTAGGAAATCTTCCTTGCTCAGACTACACAACTACTGTTCAGTCATATTAAACTTTGACAGATCAAATGCCTGAAGGTCAAACTCATGTACAGTCAAACTGTAACAAATTAAATACATACATTGTTATAATATAACAAGTATACTCAATTGTAAAAAGCTTTGAAGCACTACTTATAATATTCGTTTCAGCCCTAGTGTGTGTGTGTGTAAATTTATTAATTTATTTTTACCCAGTTATCTGTTATTAATGTTTCAAAATGCTGCTATAAACCATGTCTATTATACTTGATATCTGGCTTGAGCTTTTGTAATGATATCAATATATATTAATTTGCTTTGTCCAGTGGTTGTTTATCATCTCCTCTATTATATCTTGGAACACAACTTTTGTCATAGCTGACTACATTTCAGACAAACAATATTTCCTACAAGAAAAATTTTTGTAATCTTACTCTCTTCTGGTATGTATTTTTGTAATGGTTAAAATTTACTTTAATGATTAAAAAAAATATTTAAACCTGCTTTGTCACTTACTGATAATCTACACTTCAAGGTGTCTCACGAAACTCATCAGACATTTGAGACAATTTTTAAAGATATTATACCACAAAGTCTAGGCAGTTTATCTTACAAGGATATCTAGGTATACTTTAAAACCTGAATAGTTTATTTTCTAAAATAAATTTATTACCACAAAGTTTAACCCTTTCATATCAGGCTCATGTATTTTACACGACCTTGTAACCACCATGTAACTATGAAGGTATGCATACTATAACTTTGAAAGTATTTAATGTATCTTCACAAAATTTCTCAAGCTTTTATTAAACATTACAAGTTTTTTGTGGATACAAAATCAGAATTTTTAATTAAGTATTTTTAATAAAAATTAGTCCATAAATATATAGATTCAGAGTGTTGACTGCTCTGAGTGCAAAGTGATTTTCATGTTATAGTTAAAAATACATTTACCTTCATTTGAAAGTTTCCATATTTCATTTGCATAATCTTCAAAAGCCTTCAAAATAAATCTCAAACTTTTTTTTAGGTGTTATCTTCTCTACCATAACTATATGGGAGTTAGTTGATTTGACCCAGCCTGCGAGAATAAATCTGAAACTAAACAACAAATTAGACAATCATTTGATAGATTAAAGCTTTGGCTTTCTATCGGCTCTAAATAATATAGTATAAAATGTCGGAGAGAACTATTGGCAATTTGTGGCAAGTGTGGTCTGGTTTTATAGTTGATGGCTCAGAAAACAAATAATATTGAAGACTATAAAAATTATGCTTTGCCTGAGTAATATCTATATTATAATAAGTAATTAATGTTAAATTCTGTACTTCTCAGAGGGTGGTAAAAAACTTAGAGAAGAGGGAAGACCTAGAGAGCAAATGTCAGAATTCTCATACAAGGGTAGATTGAGGATTTTTTAAAATAATATTTCCTTATAAAGTTAAGAACTTAAACCTTATATAATATTAACATTTTATTTATTGAGTACATTTTTTTATGCCAAGTTTATTTGTATACATTGATAATAAAGTAGTTTAGTTAAATTTTGAATGTAACTGTAAATGTTTGACATGCACACTTTAACCTACCCCTTGCAAAAGGGTTGAGACTTATGCTCTAGGGATACATTAGTGTAGTACAAACCTCTAAGTAACTTTATATTTAGCTTGTATCTACAAGGTAGCAATGCTCCTTGCAACTAACTTTTACAGCTTTTCATAAAATCCTAAAAATAGTATTTCTTTTTTTTTATCAACTATGAATAGTTCTAGCAGCATAAGAATTAATAAAACACACAGACTAATAAAATGTCTAAGGATTAATGGTTAACAAAAATGTATTTAAAATTCACAAATCATTTAAAGGTCTTTATTTGATTCACAAAGAAATAAGTAACAACTGCTAGGTAAGATATTACAAAAATATTGATTTTTTAAGTATAAAATTAGTCAAGGATAAGTTTTAACACATCATGTGGCTGATGAAATATAAATAAGTGGTTATGTTTTGTAACATCTAGATGAATTCAAAGGTCACAATTTACTAGAAGCTACTCGACAGTGTGATCCGACTCGTGTGAAGAAGTACCTCTGTAGTGAAGTGGTCAACTTTAAACATCCATTCACAGGAGATTCCCCTCTTGTAAGTGAAAAAAATGTGTCTTCTTTTTAATTAATTCTAAGTGGAAATACACTTCCTGCAATATTTGTAAACTTTGTGAAAAAAAGTCAGTTTTTTGAGAATTTTTATACATCAGCTCCCTAAATGTTTTATATGTTTAAATTTTTTGCTGTACACATAAATTATGGAATAGTACTTCTTGTTGGGTGGAAGTAACATACTGTCTTATTTTATATATTGTCCTTCTCACCAGCACTGTGCTGCCAGCTCTACTGCTCCTAAAAGAAAACAAGTAACTGAAGCTATTCTAAGAAAAGGTGCTAACCCAAATGACAAGAACAAAGAGTAAGTGTGCATTGACATCTTTACATTGAGTTTTACAATTTCCAGCTCTTCTCAGATGTTTTAAAAAAATAAACCATGATTTTTCAAATGAAATGATTAGGTTAAACATTCTGACTTAAAAATGATAAACATTAAATTATTTATGTGAAACAGTAATCTTTGGCATTTTTGCCAAAAATGATAAGCTCGAACAATTTGAATTGAAATAATGAGCTTGGACTATATGACCTGAAATGATAAACTAGTTATCTTGGCTTTAAGTGTGTAGATTGAACGTATTGACCTGAAATGGTGAGCTCATTTATTTTGATCTAAAATGATAATTCAGACATTTTTACTATTTACTAAATACCAATGCTTTCATTTTATTCTAATATTTAGGTATTTGTGCAATTTGTTAATAAAAGATGAATAACAATTATCTTTCTGTTAGAAAGAAAGTACCCCAGAAATAAAATATCCAGGATATTTTTACATAGTATAGTTGAATTGATTTCCAGGTTTTTGACTCCTCTACATATCTCGGCAGACAAGTCTCACTTTGATGTGATGGATGCATTATTAAAGCATGGAGCTAAGGTAAACTTTGCACACGTCATTGTTTCTTTTAAAAATATTTTACAAAATGTAGTTAAGAAGTGTCATTTATTAACCAGATATAACCCATAACAGGAAAGTGGAACACAAATATCAAAGTACTTATAAAAGTCATAACTAATATTGTATGGATCAAAAGAGATTGAAATGGAAGATGTGGCTATAAAAATATTTTTGATTAAATTATTTTTAGTGAGGAAAGTATTGATAAAATTTCAGTGTTTGGAAGGTTCTTACTGTCGGATATTTTACCCTTAATATTATAACATTTCAGGACATTTGTGTGTTCATTCTTTCGATTATGCCCTCTTGCCAACTACGTCTTTGAAACAGAATGTTCTCAAATGTAGTGTTTAGATGGTTGCACTGAAAATATAAAAGGTTTTACAACCAAAAAAGTCAAGGGGGCATTGGAAATAATTCAGAAGTCTTAGCCTTTAGGAACTTAAATAAGTTTTTTAAAGTTATCACTTGCTTTTTTTTTTGACAATCATTTTTTAGACAGCAGGCATATTGCAGTAGGTTTACACTCAGGTACAAATCTGTCTAGCTGTCATATATGGCATGGTTTATGATCATGCTTGTATTAAAAGCACAGTTGGTTATGACCATACAATATAGGAAACTCATTGTTTGTTATTTCAAAGTTATTTATATGATGTTTTAATTGTCCTGTACTCACCACAGTTAACCTATATTTATACAAGTATATGAGTAATATGTGGCACTATAATTTATTTTTCTGTTCTTCAGCAGACAAACTGTTTAATATAATTTTTTTCTCTCATCACCAAAATTCTAGGTTAATGCTCTCGATGGACTTGGCCAGTCGCCCCTTCATCGCTGTGCACGTGAAGGAAATGTTCAAGCTTGTCGAATACTACTGTCTTATGGTGTAGATTCCTCTATTGTCAGTCTTCAAGGGTACACTGCAGCTCAGGTTGCCACTGAAAGTGTTCAAAAGATCTTGTCTGGTTAGTTTTCTTTAGAAGAATTAAAATTTTCCATAACATTTTAATTAAAGAAATTTGTAAGGACAATATTGCCTTTCCAACCATGCAGAAAGGGTGGAATGTATATCATTTAAATTATCTTTATTTAATTGTAATTTAAAAATGGATTCTCAGAATCATAATATAAAAATATCTTTAACAAATATTTTAAAAAATGTCTATGAACAAAATCTTCCTTTCATGGAATATTGGAATATTTAGCAGAAGCATTAAGGTTTATGTATATGTAGAAGTTAGAATTACTTAAGTAAAGCTGCAGGTTGGCTATGAGAAAAGTAAAAACTTAAGAGAAGCTTTCAAATTCTATTTTGACACTTAACATTTGTAGACTTTATTCTTGAAACCAAAGTATGAAGATGTGTTAGATTTGATTCTAAGAGCAAATTAAAGCCACACCCACCTGTCACATCTTCTCTTTCAGAATTTGTTAATAGTTCTCCCATATGTTTAATTCTACATTATGTATAACCAATAGAAAGCCAAGGTTTGACGTATTATATTATGTTGTTTTCTGAATGGAGAATTGTCAATTTCTTTGGTAGTGCAAGCTTCATTCCCATAGAAAAGATAATGACTAGCTTGGATGAATTTGTAACAGCTCTTGTTGCATGGTTAGAAAACCAGAAAAATTGTAATAGTTAAGGGAAATTGTTTGCTTTTTGCATTTAATTATTGTATGTTCTTTGGTACATTAATTTATTAAATAAAAATTATTTAGTGCATTACTACCATTAGTATAAAAAAGTAGAGTTAAGTGTCATTGACAATCGATAGCGAAAAAAAAAAGAAGACCGGGTAAGGATTATATTTCTTATTTTTCATGTTTATTCTTTATTTATTATTATTATAAAAGTAACTAGAATTCACTGGAAATATTTTTATATTGAAATACTAATGTCATTTAACATGCCTTTGTAAAAATTAAAAACACTTGTTTACTTTCAGATCCTCCTCCAGGAAGCACTGATGCAGAGTATCAGCTCCTTGAAGCAGCCAAGGCTGGAGATATAGAAATAACAAAGGTAAATCTGGTTGAAAATAGCCCAAAAAAGTTTACTTATTTTTTTTTATCACCACTCACATTAAACAGTAATATTAATGATGTCAGAAAAACACGTAGGTTCAGGAAGTCTTAACATAAAATAATAAAAACCCTATAACCAGACTGCTTTCGAAAGCTGGACCTCTCTTCTTCAGGGACAAACTGGGAATGGTGGTGTAATCCAATGAGTGATATATAAAGGGAGTTGAGTGACATCATGAAAGTCACTTGGTCTTCCAGGAAATGTTTAATATATTTTTCCATATACAGTTGTGTGTTTCATTTCTGGTACAATGTGGTCAGCAACAAGAGTGTTATGTAAAAAGGTATTAGGGAAATTTTGCTTTAGAAAGAGTTAAAAAAGAAACAAAACTATACTTAAGTGTTTAACTAAAATAAAGGTGGCACCTGGAGACTGATTGAAAAAGAGATGTTAAGCTAATTAATTTATACAAACAGGTATGGAAAATTATCTTAACTCTTTCAGCAAGGACTCAATTCCTGGGACTGACCTCGTAACAGTTTTGTGCTTGTTATAGTTTTCATGCTACAACTTTTAATTAGTAAGCATATCTTAACAAAATTTGGCAAATTATCAGTAAACATTACAATGCTTTCATATGCAAAATATTAAATTTTGTTATTAAGTCTTAAGGTTTATTAAGCAATGTTTTTCTCATGGCTTTTTTTTTTGCATGTTGTCTATCCTGGCCAGGTAGTTAGGGCGCTTGACTCGCAATCTGATGGTTGCAGGTTTGATTCCTCGTCTCACCAAACATGCTCGCCCTTTCAGCCGTAGGGGCGTTATAATGTGACGGTCAATCCCACTGTTCATTGGTAAAAGAATAGCCCAAGAGCTGGCAGTGGGTGGTGATGAGTAAGCTGCCTTCCCTCTAGTCTTACACTGCTAAATTAGGGATGGCTAGTGTAGATAGCCCTTATGTAGCTTTGTGCGAAATTCAAAAACAAACAAACAAACAGATAGTTATCAAATGTTTCGTAAGAAAAAACTTTATATTTTATATGTTATTTTCATTAACAACTCTCTGTATGTGTTCAGTAGACTTGACTGATCTTGTAACCACCATAAATTAAAACACCAAAACATAAATGTTTAGTCTAAATAGCTTAAGCCTCATAACTAATGACTAGAATGGATGAATTTGTAAAGGCTTTTGTCGCATAGTTAGGAAGCCAGAAAAATTTGAGAGTTGTGGGAAATTGTCTACTATTTGCATGTTATTTGTCTATGTTCTTTGGTGCATTATTTAATTAAATAAAAATTATTTAGTGCATTACTACCATTAGTATAAAAGAAACAAGAAGATTGGGTATGTACTTTATTTCTTGTTTTTCATGTTTATTCTTTATTTATTACTGTAAAAGTAACTAAAATGTAAAAAATATGGATCTTTTTAGGTTAGTTAAGATCAGATTAGGTAAAATAAATAATAATAATATAATAAAAATGTTTCATGAGGCATGCACGTGAGCAGCTCATAGTACCTCATGGATAATATAATTCAATAGCATAATGTGAGCTGCATGTTCCCGAGTGATTTACATCTTATAATGGCACAGATAATTGTTAGACACAGTTCAAAGGGCTATAAAACAATAAAATTTAATTATACATAGATGTATAATGTTATGAATTTAAAGCTACGTAGGATAAACGAGTGTAGTTTCATGCTGCATTTGAAGTCATTCTAGAAGAAGAAAAAAAGAGTAATTTAGATTTATTTCAGTTGGGGGAGGGGTATCAATGTCAGTCAAATTGACCAACCTTGTATAGAGTTAGGGTAGAGAAAATAAGAGATAAAATATAGTTTTACTGAAAACAAACCTTTGAATTGTATTTAGGAGGTTTTAGATATTACACAAATTAAATTTGATATTCTTGAGATGAAGAAAAGTATTTTTAATCTTAATGTAAAGATCACTTTTCACACAGACTATTCAAAACAAATACTTGATATATTTAAGGACAAATCTTTATTTTAGTTTATTAAAAATACTTCACTAAAAATATGATTTGTATGTGAAAGACTTATAATGTTAACTGAAAGACTGCCAAATGTTATGAAAATATACATACTATATTGAAAGTTAGAAGTATTAAATGTATAAAGGCTTTAAATGAGTACAAAGAGGTCATGTGGCTGGTTAAATTGACCAAGCCTGTATTGAGAGAGTTAATAACACGTCTGTAATTCAAGGGTAATCTTCGAATATTCCTTGCATAAGTACAGGAGTAAAGGTGATACAAGTATGACATATCTGTAATTGTTAGGTTGTCAGTGTGTTAAGTTATTGTTGTGGTGGTGATTCAGTATTTCCTAGAATGCCTCTTTTTGTAGTGGTGGTTGTTCAGTATCTCCTAGGATGCTTCTCTTATGTTTTATTGTTGTTTCTTAGAATGCCCTTCTTATAACTTTTTTGTTGTGATTGTTCAATGTTTCCTTTAAAGTTCTTCTATTGTGACTGATCAGTGTTTCTTACAATGCCCTTTTCTTTTTTGGTATTTTTATTTATTTTTTATTTTCTGATTGTTAATTTTTCCTAAAATACCCTTATTTTTGTGCTGTTTTCATCTGTCTTTCCTAGAATGCATTAGTTTTTACTGTTGTGATTGATCAGCATTTCCTTGACTATCATTCTTATCTATTTGTTTTTCTTATGGATTGTTTTTTCTAGGTGGCCTTGTATTTTCTTTTGGTGTTCTTATTGATCATGTTTCCTAGAATGCCCTTCTTGTCTTTTAGTAATTGCTTGAAACAGGTTTTGAATCTCACCTATTTCACATTTGTTTGTTAAACACTTTCTTCATATTGGAAATGACTAACAATTCTTTTTTTTTATAGGTGTTCATAAAAAATTGTTCTGATTTGCTGTTTGTTTTAAATCGTACAGCATGGATAGTGGTTTTAGATTTTACTTTGTATTGTGACATAGGTTCACTCTTGGGTACTCACACCTGCTTAATTTTTCAAGATAATTTTAAGCTCAGGGATGCTAAAACTTTATTTAGTTATATTGGATATCAATCAGATCCTGATAATTACTTGTAGCTTTACCTAAATATACATATGTCTGATATGCATTATTTCATTTCAGATTTGAGATAATGTGCTTTAATTTTATGAATCGTAACACCAAAAGGTGAAAAAAAAGCTGTTTGTTAAATTCAACTAGAAAGTTTAATCACCTCAAACTCTCTTTCATGTAAATATATCTGAAGTCTACATTAAGTCATTTTGCATATTTAAAGCATTAACATGTCTCAAAACTGTAGGTCTCAGCTTCTCATTGTAATGATTTTGTTTACATAAAATGAGTATATATGTTTTATAGTTTAAATACCTTCTTTATGTTTCTTGTTGTGGTGTTCAACTTTGTAGCAAGTTCTACAGTCTCAACCACATGTGGTGAACTGTCGAGATGTGGATGGCCGTCAGTCTACGCCACTACATTTTGCTGCTGGTTATAACAGAGTTGCTGTGGTAGAATACCTGCTACTTCATGGAGCTGATGTACATGCTAAAGACAAGGGGTAGGCTTATTCTGCATGGTTAACTGTTTATGGATTCTGTTCTTCATTGTTTAATTACTTATCAATCATTTAATCACACTACAAAATATCACAATATTCTGTTACAAATGTTTCATTAAAAAAATTTTGTTTAGTATAATGATCATATTTGAGGTTTTGGTTTCCAGTGTAGTCTGTATCACTGAGGTTGTGGTATTGTACAATATCAATAACTTTTCCACGTGTTTCATTTATCTTAAAGATCAAATTTCACATGATGACAAAAACTGAATAGTGTAACAAGACTAATCATTTACTTATCCATTTGTAATAAACTGTAATAAATTTTTTATGTACATTTAACTCAATGATTGTTCCAGTATTTACCAGTTACTCAAACATTTTTAACAACTTTCCAGAGGACTTGTACCATTGCATAATGCATGTTCATATGGTCATTATGAAGTTGCTGAGCTGTTAGTAAAGGTAAGGCTTTCTACAATTTTTGTTTTAGAATATTAAATAAAATTATAATTTTTTCACTTTCAGAACTTTTTTTTTCTTTTTACATAAGACTGTTCATTTGAGTTTATCAAGACTTGAATGAGTCTACAGAATATGTGATAACAACACAAAGTAACAGAAAACTGTCCAAACCCAATACGAAATTTTAACAGATTTACTATTTACTGCTACATTCAAGATTTAAGAACCATGCTATTTCCATTTTTTTCTTTGTTGACAGAATACTCAGAAATCCACTGAATACAAATTACTTGAGCTGGGCAATCAGTATAATTTGATAATTAGTTAATTATTAGCTAATTAATTCTTTCACCATAGGATCAGTCGAACTGACAGAGTTCATAACAATTTTGTACCTGTTATAGTTTCTATACTATAACTTTTAATACAGTAAGTGTATCTTCACAAAAGTTGGCAGACATTTAGTAAACATTACATGTTATTTGTACACAAAAATAAGATTTTTTAATGAAGTATTTTTACTAAAGATATGTCTGTGAATATATTGAGTCTATTTTTTTTACTAGTCCAAGTGCAAAGTGATTTTCATGTTAAAATGAAAAATACTTTTCTTCATCTCAAAAACCTCAAATTTCATTTGCATAATCTCTAAAACCTACCAAGTATACTTTAAACGTTTTTATTTGAAGTAAAACTTTGTTTGATCTGTTATTTTCTGTACCCTAACTCTATACAAGGTTGGTCAATTAAACCATCTTTGTAACCACCAAAACAAAATCAAAATCAATGTTTTTTCTAGAATGACTTCAAATTGTAAAATGAAATTATATTAGTTTATCCAAAATAACTTTAAACATATGACACTATACATCTATTTCTACATAAATTTCATTATCTTATTGCCCTTTAAACCATGTCTAATTAATATTTGTTCCATATAAGTTGTAAATCATGTGGCAAACATGCAGCTTATGTTACAGTATCAAAGTACATAATGCATGTACTACCCTCCAACTGCTTGCGAGCCTACCTTTCAAAAAATTATTATTATTATTTATTTTACAATATCTAACCTAAAAAGTTTCCAATTTTTGCATTTCAGTTACTTTTATAATAATAAATAAGAATACACATGAAAAAACAAGAAATAAAGTACTTACTTGGATCTTCTTTTTATGCCTTTGACTGTTGATGACACTTAACCCTACTTATTTTTATACTAATGGTAGTAATGCACTAAATAATTTTTATCTAATTAAATGATGCATCAAATAACATAGAATAATCACATGCAAAAAGCAGGCAATGTCCTATAACTATCAAAAATTTTCTGGCTTTCTAACTATTAAGAGGAGTCATTGAACTGAAAGCAAAATTGAGGATTCTCTTTACAGAAAACAATGTTTATATAATACGTCATTTGATAGGTTAAAACCTTGGCTTTGTATTGGATATAAATATTATAGTATTAACCCAATTTGCCCGGGTATCATTTACTGTGCATGCCGTGAGGTTTAGTGATTTACATTCAAAATTTTATTAAACTACTTTATGTTATACCAATTAGTATAGCATAAAATCTAAGCTAATAATCCATATTTTAATAGTATATAAGTTTTAAGTTCTTAATTTTATAAGCCAATATTTTAAAAAAATCCTGAATTTCCCCTAGTGTTTGGTTACAGAGCCATCAAATAGAAAATCAGACTGCTCTTGTCACATCCTCTCTTCCAAGATTTTTTCATATTTCTGTCTTACGTTTAATTCTATATTATCTATAACCAATAGAAAGCCAAGGTTTTCATTTATCAAATGATGTATCATATTACGTTGTTTTCTGAATGGAGAATTGTCAATTTTTCTGTTAGTACAAACTTCCTTCCCACGGGAAAGATAACGACTAGCATGGATGAATTTGTAACGGTTCTTGTTGCATAGTTAGAAAACCAGAAAAACTGTGAGAGTTAGAGGAAATTGTCTGCTTTTTGCATGTTCTTATTCTATGTTATTTGGTGCATCATTTAATTAAATAAAAATTATTTAGTGCATTACTACCATTAGTATAAAAATAATTAGGGTTAAGTGTCATTGACAGTCGACAGCAAAAAAATGAATACCTGGGTAATTACTTTATATCTTGCTTTTCATGTTTATTCTTTGTATATTATTATAAAGTTACTAAAATTTAAAAATATGGATCTCTTTAGGTTAGTTAAGGTAAGAGTAGGT